CAAAACCTGAGAAAATTTTCAGCAGGTAATAAATATTAAGAGGGAGACGGGTGGGAGAGCAAGCTTAATGTTGAGGAAAACTCTGTAATAGTTGGAGAACTCTTTGGACAGCCACATAAATCCAACAGGGCTCAGCTTCAGCAGTTACGGAAAAGATTTAATGGAGGAAAATTGATATACGGGAGTTCAGGTTGTGAATATTTCAGCCATGCATCAGGTCCAGATTTCTTTCTTGATAACTTCCTATTAGGATTGATTGGATTAAATCACTCTCAGTTGAATTTGAATTAACTAAAATTCTGGGTGTGATTAGAGAGTCATTAATGGCAAAGAATCATGGGAAGGAGAGAGGGGTTTGAATTCAAATAAGTGGGCCCCAATTACTTAAGTGAATTAATTCTTAAATCTAAAATTAAATTTCAGATTTAAAGCTGCGATTAATTCCTTAATTAAAGGGAGGAAATTGAGGGGGCATTTAACTCCTAATGCAAATTTGAATTTTGAATTTGAAGAGTTAAAACCTTCCAAATATGGATCAAACCCAATTAGGAAAGATTTCAAATTTGAAATTTGAAATCCAAAATTGTCATGGATTTTCCCTCTCGATTTTGCCAACCCAAATTAGGAAAGGGGGTGGTAAGGGGGAAGGGGAGATTCACGGGTTGGATGGTGGAGGTGGCTGACGGGTGAGGGAGTTGGCCGTGGGCTTGGAGAGGAAGGATGGGGGTCGGATGGGGTGAGATCCAGCGGCGAGGGTGGAGGATGAAGACGACTAGGACAATAAGGAGGAATAACAAGCAAGAGATAAAAACAAAAGAGAGAAAATAAATGATAGAAGATAAAGAACCGCGAGCCTCGGACTCTTTCAAAGGCTGACGGGTGATGCTTTGCCCTTCTCCAAGGGACTTTAATTCACGAGCCCGGACCCATCCTGCGGCTGGTGAAGACTTCGATTCCTCTCATAGAAATCTTACTAACGCTCTCTCACAAGAAGAACACAAGTGTGGAAAATAATTTTTTCATATCAATCATCAATCCTATTACAATAGCTTGAGGCCTTATATATAGGCCACAACATGAGAAAATTAAACATTACAAAATTGCCTCTTGGACCAGAACACTCACATAAACTAACCTAGGGGTAAAACAAGAAATAACTGAAAACAAGAGCTAAAATTCATAAAATAAAATTTAAATGACAAATTAAATTAGAGCCGTCGATTTACGACGCCTCTTGTGATAGATGCGCCAAATCTTCGTGCCGATGTCCGCATCAGTATCCTTCTTCTCAAGGAAAGCAGTTTTAGGTGTCTTTATTGCGTCGTTTGTAAGAGTCAAAAGTTTGTAAGTCATCTTTTAATATAAAAAGTGTCTTTTTGAGTATTTTATGTCTTTTATATCTCCAAGGAAGACTTTATTTTTCTAGCAAAAAATTGGGGCTCTCTCGCAAATCCCAAATTTTTGCTTACATAAGGAAGTCACAATACAACTAGTCTATGTGGATGATATTATCTTGACTGGAAACAATGGAATAGAGAAAGAAAGTCTAATGAAAAATCTTACCAAAGAATTCGATATTAAAGAACTTGGTAGACTAAAATACTTTATTGTAATTGAAATAGCACACTCCAGCAAAGGAATCTTCATTTCACAACATAAATATATTATAAATCTTCTAAAACAGACAGAAAAACTAGCATGTAAGCCATTACCAACACCAATAAAACCAAATCTCAAATTAGGGGAAGCGAAAGAAGATCTAGATGTAGATAAAGGTGCTTACCAGAGACTTGTGGGGAAATTGATATACCTTTTCCACATTAGACCATATATAACATTTGCTGTAAGTTTGGTTAGTCAATTTATACAAAATCCAAAACAGACACATATGCAAACTGTAGACAGAATACTCCATTACCTTAAAGGAAACATAGGGAAAGAGATTCTCTATAGAAGAGATCGTGGAATAACTTTAGAAGCATACACTGATGTTGATTATGCAGGATCACCAGTAGATAGAAAATCTACCTCTGCATACTGTACATTTTTTGGAGGAAACCTAGTTACATGGAGAAGCAAGAAACAAAATGTGGTGGCAAGATCTAGTGCAGAAGTAGAATATAGAACTATAGCCTTGGGAATGTGTGAGTTTCTATGGATCAAGATGATTCTAGAAGATCTAAGGATCAAGTGGGACAATCCCATGAAGCTATATTTTGACAACAAATCAGCAATCAACATAGCCCACAATCCAGTCCAGCATGACAGGACCAAGCACATAGAAGTGGATCGACATTTTATCAAAGAAAAATTAGACAATGGTCTTGCATGTATCAACCATGTACCATCGAAAGATCAACTCGCAGATATCCTCACCAAAGGACTGGATAGCTCCACCTTTCTTAGAATGATTGTTAAGCTGAGAATGACATATCTATATTCCCCAACTTTAGGTGGAGTGTTAAATCTCAGCCTCTCATTCTCATGTTGATCCCATGGCTGCAAGTAGAGATCCGTGGGAAGCCCGTCTTATCACATTGAACACCTTCCATAGATGTGCAGCTGATTTAGAAAGAATTTATATTTCATTATTCTGTAGTTATTTGTTTCCTTATTAAAGCATCTTGCATAGATCTATAAAGAAGGATTATAGTGTATAATAAAATTTAAGTTTTCCTCTCAAACTTCCTGATTTCAACACTTTCAATTGAGGTAAATGTATTGTGAGATGAGATTGCTCTTTTCATTAAAAAGAGCTTGATCGAAATTTTACGAAGGTCTAGAACTGAGTGAAGAGATATGACAGGTTATTAAAGAAAAAAATATGAATTTGAATTATAGCAAAAGATAAATAATGTTTTGGTTTATAATGATTATATGAAGGCTAAAAATCTTACAAAGAAGATATTAAATGAAGTAAAAGTTATACTTTTTAATTAATTATGTAATTAGTGAGGTTTAATGGAGGAAACAATTTCTATAAAATAGTGATGGAAATGATGCAATACGTGAGCCTTTTTTTGTTAACATACAGCAATGACAACAAAAATATGAAGTCTTTATCCCACTACACCATGTCAGTTAAATTCTTCACATTTGTATAAAGGCATTGGACCTTTAGCCTTTATTTTTTCACATTCTTCTTTTGAATTTTTCACCCTTCTTGGCTTTTTCTTGTGCAGCTCACGTACTTCATTGCTCAACCTTTTGTGGTTGTTCTTTTTTCTGTAGTTGTAATTATTTTCTTATAGAATGATATTCCCCTGCCTGTGTGTTGCATCTATATTTAGGAGTCCGAGAGAGAGAGGTTGGCATAAGCCTTATTTCCCATCCAGAAATGTAACTAAGAATTCAAGTAAATCCTAAATTTTCCTCTACGTGAAAGCATGCTACACATCTTGGCCCCTCCCCCCGACCCTGCCACTCTTGAAGTATCCATTCAATTCTTCTTTTTTTTTTTTTTTTTTTTTTTTTTTTTTTTTTTTTTTTTGAAGAGTCCCCAATTCTTCCTCTATATTATATTCTTTCCTACTATCTATCAAGTAATCCGAAGTTACCACGATATTCACTTATTTGCACTGCTCTGCATTAGTTGATATCATAGTCAAAGTTTATGACTCAAAGAGTTCTTCATGATAAAAAATTAAGGCAAGCTTTGATTTTATGGGTAGCATAATATCTTGTCTTCTGCTCAACCTCTTTGGTCTCTGATATTGCCTATAATAGAATTCCTAAAAACTTTAGGACAACCATTCTTTTTATCATATTCAATCAAGACTGTTAAATCATACACAATTTTATTTTATTTTTTGTTGGTTTGTAAGACTAATTTTATTTGTATATATATTTTTTTATTGTTGCTTTTAAAGCTTTCTTAGACCACCTTTCTTAGACCACCTTCTTCTACCTGGTTACAGGATAGTTGCAACAAAAATAAAAACAAAGAAGTATTAAGGAAACTCAATAAAAAAAATTGTAATTTGAAATTTTGAAAAAGGGTTATAAAACTATGAATGTTCAATTTTTTATTCAAGATTGAATTTGAAATTCAAATTGAATTTAAATTTTTCTTGCCATTTGCCCTATCTTTCCCTTTTAAGCAATCATACTTTTTATAACCTCTACAATTTTCTCCATATTGTCCTCCACAATGCACTTTATAATATCCTTAAAAAATTCCTCCACCAAAACCTGTAAACTACTTATCAAATTAAAATTTGAATTTTAGGACTTAATAGTGATAGTGCTGTGATTTGTTTAACAAATCAATTATCTTTTAGTCAAGGTCATAAATTGCTACTTCAGAAATGCTACTTTTAGTAGTTATTAAAAGAGAGTATCAAGGAAGAAAGCATTTTCGAAGTGCATAATGACTATAACTTGATTCAAACAAGTCGACTTAGCTCTGAAAGATGCATAATATATCTTTTGGGATTTGAGTACTTATTGGTGATATTGTAGTGGTTTGGTTAATAAATCAAATAGGTTCTAATCAAAGACATAAATTGCTAACCCTTATCACATGTATGTGTGTACTATCCAGAAATGTTTGGTCATGCAGTAGTCTTGTGGAGTTGATGTTTCTTGTGCATGACTTTTCTTGAGAGTTTTCAATTTTAGTCGTGTATAGCAAGCATTCTCACTGTCATTTTCTGGATATTTTTCTTTCATCCGGGGCCTTGTTTTTTTTTAATTTACTTAAATTGCAAATATTGCCTCCTTGAAATATCTGCTTTCCATTAGGAAGTTTTTTAGTTTGGAAATATCTCTTGAATTCTTTCAACTTATTTTTTGTTTATCAACTTATTATTCATGGTTGCTTCATTCGCTACTTTTTCTGTTGATGTTTCTTTTTCCTGTCCTTTTTTATATAAATTCACGCTTTTATCAACTTGTTCTCGTTAGATTGTCTCTTTTGATCCATTTAGAAATTCTGATGATTCTCCTCTCGTAAAGAATCAAGCCTTCATTAGCTTGTCTGAAATTTTCTTTTCCTGCAGATGATACTTCCACGTTATATTAGTAAAGATTGGCTGGAAAATTCTTTTAATTGCTGGATGCAGAGATGTCGCAATGCATCAAGTGCAGAATCCATTGAAATTCTAACTGAGGTGCTTGATTTAATTTGATGATTTCTTTGTCGCTATTACTCATAAAACGTAGGGTAATGTCATGTATTTGTTTGTTTTTATTTTCTCAGTGATTTTAAGGGTTGATGTACAATACAAACTCAAGAGAGCCATTATTATGTCACCTTCCATCTGCTTGTTTTTTATAAAAACTTATGTTGGCACTTGTAACCATATGGGGTTACTTTATGATGAAAGTTGAGGCCTGCTTATTGTATTTTGGCTCTTTGACCAAGAAAAGGTATAGTATATAGATCTCTTTATAAGTTTATATTATTTACTCAACACAAATTACTGAATTTGTAAAATGTCCTTAACTTCTCCATCAGGCAAAAAGGCAACTTTATTAGTACTTATTAATGATTGTAGGTTATAATTACAATCTTATTATTTTGAAATATTAACACTAGTTGAGAAATTTTAGAACAAAACCAAGTCTCCCTTCAGCAGCTACCTGATTGTAGGTTAAATTGGAATATACCTCAAGTGAGGAAGTTAACAGCGATATTGCAAATTTTTAGGAGTAGTGTTATATAACAGATCATATTGCAGTTGTATTCTAAAGAATAGTTTCCTAAAAAGTAATAAATATCATCTATATATTATCAGGTAAAACCAGGGGTTTAAAAATTGATTCTGGTGATGTGTACTGGTGATCACTGTTATGATATTTGTGGTTCTATAGTGTGTCACTCTCTTTATTTTCTAGGGAGAAATCACTTCCGTTTGCTTGTGTTTTTACTTCATGCTTGGTATTTTTAGTTTACACACTTGCATGGAATGGTCCAAGCCATTCTTTTTGTGAAACCATGTCAATCAGATCTTACGCACAATTATGAATATCATTTATATTCTATATGTATTTCTTTTTTGTTTGTTTGTGTTGCTGCTTTAAGAACTTTTCCATTTTTCACTTTAGATATTTTTCTATTTTATGTAAATTTCGTTATCTGAACCAGGAAATGGTGGAATCTGTTCTATGGAGTAAGGTGGATGAGCTTTGGAATGCACCTGTGCAGCCTGAATTAGGCCCTGAATGGAAAACATGGAAACAAGAAGCAATGAAATGGTTTTTTGTTTCACATGTACGAGCTAGTGCTCAGAATGTTGAACTTAATACCTCTGACATTTCTGTGGAGGAACCCCAAACTTGCCGGAAACGTGTAAAGCTTGAAATTCGCCGACCAGAAACATCTGCTTCTAAAATAGAAGTTCTTGATTGTAAAAGTCAATCCCACATAAAAAGCCTGGATAATAACTGTAGACAAGTCATCTCTGAAGACCTTTCTGAGTTGCCTTTAAATTGTGAACCTCATAAAATGGTGGCACTTCCTAGAGTAGCTGCAGAAACAGGCTCTGGCAACATGCTTGTTCGAGGGAATGAGGCTTCATTTGAAGGCAAAAGTGTAGGGCATCAAAGTACGGTTGGCACATCTACAGATGGCGCATTATGCAAGGAATTAATTATACATTCTCCTCATCACCTGGACTCTTCAAATAGGTATCGGCAATGCCTAGCTTTCATAGAAGCTAAGGGAAGACAATGTGGAAGGTGGGCAAATGATGGTGATGTCTACTGCTGTGTACACTTGACTTATCATTCTGTTAGAAAACACCCTAAGATTGATCAAATGCTTCCTAGTGAAACTCCAATGTGCCAGGGCACAACCACACATGGTAATAAATGTAAACATAGAGCTCGATACAACTCAACATTCTGCAAGAAACATTGGTTTCAGGGAAATCAGAGCTCAATGACAGCAGGTGCTCTCTTGTTATCATCTGATGACACGTCCGAAAGAAAACAAGAAGAAGTTCAAGTTCCAGGAAATCTCTCTTGTTTAAATTCAACTAGTGGCCATGAATTTAGTTTGATGAGAGAACCTATAAGTTCCACAGAGGAAAACCTCATTCCAATCATAATAGAAGAAACGCTGGACGAAAGGAATTGCTTGATGAGGCAATCAGAACTTTGCAATGCACTGCCTACTGGCAAAGGAATTTGTTCAGAGATTCAAAACTGCATTGGACATTATAGCCACAGAAATGGTGGACAGTGCCAAGAATTTCCGAGGAAGCACACCTTGTACTGTGAGAAGCACCTTCCCAGATTTCTTAAGCGTGCAAGAAATGGTAAAAGTCGGCTAATATCTAAAGATATTTTTATCAATCTTCTGAAAAGTTGCTCCTCAAGAAAACAAAAATTATGTCTCCATCAAGCATGTGAACTTCTTTATGGATTCTTGAAAAGTGGCTTATCCTGTCAAAAATTTATTTCAAGGGGTGACAATGTGGCATGGATATTAGCTGAGGCCTCTAAAGATGTAAATGTTGGAGAGTACTTACTTAAGTTGGTTACTTGCGAAAGAGAGAAAATTATGGGGTTATGGGGTCTTAAATATGATTTAGATAAGCATGCGTTCTCCAAAGAAATTAACTCCTTGTCCACAATGAACCAGGATTCCCATATGACCCTGAAATGCAGGATGTGTTCTGCTGAGTTTTCTGATGATCATATGCTTGCTAGACATTGGACTGAAGTCCACAAAAAAGAAGCTCGACGCTTGTTCAAAGGATATGCTTGTGCAACTTGCATGAACTTATTTAACAACCGAAAAGTACTAGAGACACATGTGATTGAGAAACATGGAGTGCAATTTCTCGAGCATTCAATAGTAGTCAGGTGTGTACGTTGTAGCAGCCAATTTGTGAGTCCTGAGAAATTGTGGCAGCATGTTTTCTCATTCCATTTATCTGAATTAAGGTTACCAGATTTTAATTCAAGTAATTGTATCTTGTCAGAAGATAAAGCAACCCAGACAATGCTGGGAACCACAATTAATCTATGCCAAAATAAGAGCGTACTTAAGAAAGAAGATGACTCACGAAAATATATTTGCCGGTTTTGTGGTTTACAATTTGATCGCCTCCCAGACCTCGGTCGTCACCATCAAATTGCTCATACGACATCATATTCCGCTAGCCATTTCCCAGCAAAGAGAAGGAATTTTTTTCTCAAACGCACCAAATCTAATCATTCTAGATTCTGGAAAAAATTTGGGTCCTCATTCAGATTCAAGAATCAGAGTAACTGTGTGATACTAGAAAACTTTCAGTCTTCCAGCTCGGTGTCCCAAATGAAGCCAACATTGTATAAGCAGCCATCAGAAGTGCTTGATTTTGGAGGATTATCAGAATCTAATTGTTGCAATGTTGCAGAGACATTGTTTTCTAAGATACAAAGAGCAAAACAACGACCGAGTAATTTGGAGATTCTATCTTTTGCACGTTCTGCTTGTTGCCGGACCAGCCTTGATGCTGCGCTAGTTGAGTTTGGGGTATTGCCTGAGAATATTTATTTAAAAGCAGCAAAACTTTGCAGTGAGTTGAATATTCAAGTAGCTTGGCACCAGGAGGGGTTTATTTGTCCAAGAGGATGTAAGCCTGTTACAAAACCTTATTTTTTAGCTCCTCTAAAGTCTCTCCCATCCTTGGTTGTTGAACCTCCTCAATTAGAATCCGGGAATGATGTCAAGTGGGAGATGGATGAAAGCCACTATGTTTTAAGTGCTGAAAATTTTGACTGGAAACAAAGGCGAGATTCCATAGTTCTATGCAAAGATGTGAGCTTTGGCAAGGAAGCGATTCCAGTGGCTTGTGTAGTAGATGAGAATCTTAAGCATTTGCTTACAACTGATGTTAGCGAAGATTCTTGTACCCAAAAACCTTGGTTATCTATGCCTTGGCTGGGTTATACTTATGCTACTGAAAGATTGATTGATCCATGTCTTAGCCTTGATGCAAAGGTAAGTAATGTGCTCATCCTTTTTTTTTTTTACTTGCTAATATCCATTTGAATGAGGTATGTGATGAGGTCAAGCATATGCTATATGGTGATCTTTTTCTTTCCCTTTGGTTGCGTTGCACTTCTGATGATTTTTTTTTTATTGATGCCCTTGTTGGACTTAATGGATCTCTGTATAAATTACTCTCCTAATTTTCCTTTTACAGAGTTCACAGCTGGGGTGTGCTTGTCAACAGTTGAAGTGTTATCCTGAAAATTGTGATCATGTCTACCTCTTTGATAATGATTATGATAACGCTGTTGATATTCATGGTAATTTAATGCAAGGAAGATTTCCGTATGATGAGCAAGGAAGAATTCTGCTAGAGGTACTGCAAGATTCTAATATAAATAAATATTTTTCTTTCATGCTTATGATAATAGCATTTCTACATGGAAAGCCTGGTGCACAAAATTGTATGTATAAACAGCATAGTGCAACTACCTTCTTGAGGCCTTTGAAAATCATACAGGAAATGAAGGATGAGTTAGAATTAGAAAAAAAAATTTATAGTTTTTTTAAGTCGATGAAATTTTAGCCTTTGAAAATCACTCCCTCTTAAAGTTGATCTCATCCCTATATGTGAAAGCATACAACTCAAGATCTTGAATATAAACAACCATTGTGATAGAGTTCTCGAGAGAGCCATCAAGAAAGTCATTGAGTAGTTCTCCAGAATTTGCTCAATAGCACTACCTGCCCAAGGGCCAAGGCCATACACTCTTGTTGCTCAGAAAATCTTCAACCCTAGCTATCACATCATTCTCACTAAGGACCACTTTGGGCCTATGATGCACAAACACGGACACGGCGACATGACACGGACACGTCAATTATTGAAAATATAGGACAAGGACACAGACACGGGCTGGACCCAGTATTATAGTTTTATATTTTAAAAATAGTGTATAAAAATTGAATAAGTATACTTTTAAAAATAATTTAGAAATAATAAGTCTTTTAACTAGAATTTGTGCTTAAAATGATAAATATTAGAATGTCGAGAGTCGGCAGTCGATGCCGTTTATCAGTCATCGAGAGAGGATATTACAATATTGTCAAGAGTCGTGCATTGATGCTATGCAGTAAATGTTGAACGTCAATGTTAAGAGGGCATTTCTCGTCGATGTTGAGAGGGCGTTGGTTGTCGATGTTGAGAAGGCGTTGGACAAAGATGAGATGTCAAGTTGTGGGTGTAGAAATTGTTAGCATGGAGCCTCAATGTAAAGACAATGTCAGACTTTGATATGGAGATTGTTTTGAAATGTTGATGTTGTAACGATGTCAACCATCGATATTGAGATGACATCAGACATTGTTGTGTAATCAAAGTTGTAACATGCCAAAGAGAAATGAAAATGAGAATATTCGATGAATGTGATATTAAGTGCGGGCGATTGATTTGGTGTTGTGGATATGAAATAAGAAATTTAGTTTTTATATTTTAAATAAGTAAAAATTTAAAACAAAAGAAACTATATTTTAAAAAATTCATAAAATATTTAACACGCGTGTCCAATTTGTATTTAATATTTTTTAATCGGACATGTTTTCGATGTGTCCGACACGTGTCGTGTCAGATACGTGTCGTACATTGCACGCCTCTTCGAGGAGAAGTGTCGATGCATCATAGCCTTGGGCCCAATGACACTCTTTTTGCCTACTTTCCTATATGCATACAAAACATGTAGAAGACAACAAGACATCTAGATATCAGAGCATTAATGGCGAGATTTAGCATTTCTTTTGTCGTGCTATTGCATTTATTATTGTCATTTGTTTGGTTTAATAGAACTGAAGTATAACCACTACTTCCACTGCACACTTAACTTAATTGGGATCAAATAATCATCATGGGAGATAGTAATAATCTCTATTGCACCATCTGTATAAATATCTCCTCATTTGGCACAAGAAGCCTCTTCTAGCTCTCTGGCTCTCTAGCTATCTCTTTCTCACTCCTCCCTAGAGGTCAAAAATTGACACGACCCAAAAACCGGACTCGAATTCGACACAAATTTTTTGGGTTAGGGTCAACCCGTTTTAAGAATAGGTCGGGCTCGAGTCCTGATTTTTTCCCCTCTTTTTTTGATTTTTGGGTCGGGTTTGGGTCAACGTTGAAACCCAATTTTTCCCAAAGACCCACCATACCGCCTTCGTCGCTCTCCTCCGGACCTCCTCGCTCTTGGTCATCATCACCTCTTCCCCCATCTCTGGCTCGCCGCAGACTTGCAAGCTTTGCCCACTTCTTCTTCTCATCTCCCCAAGAAATCTTGCGAGCTCTTTCCGCCATTCGTCTTGGCTTTTAACCTCTTTCGTCTCTCCGCAAGTTTACACCACACATGTATCCTTCTTCTATAAGTGAAGCAAGTTTAGGGTGTCTTGGTTGAGTCAAGTTTGTAAGTCTTTTATTTTATAGTATTAAAGTTTGTTTTGTCCAATTTGTCTTCTTTTTAGTGTCTTTTCTATTACCTAGTAGAGTCTTATTTTGTTAAACAAAAATTAGGGTCCCCCCCTAATTTTTGCTTGCATTAATGGCTCTCGCTCAAGCAATGACACTTGAAGCCATTATCATCCCGACACTGCTTCTGGCACATTTGGAATTACCACAACTTCTGTAGCCATGTTGCTTTGATCTTGTTCGCAATTGCATCCATTTATCACCTCCTATGCAGACCCCTCTCTTCCCGATCTTGCCATCGATATCTTCACCGCAGATCAGTCTCCCCCGACCGCTGCACCTTTTCTATCCTCGTCGTCGCATGGTGTGCCGCTTGCAATCACCGCGAGGCACAAGATTTCCTCAAGGAAATGGTCCGTCGCTGCTTCTCGCTTCCTGTTTGCATCCGCGATCTTCTCATCGACAGTCTCGTCCGTGCCGGCCTAAGGAGGGCCTCCTCCTTGATGTGTCCACAGACCACATTCAAATCCCTCCTCGAAGCTCTTTGTGACGCGGTCGAAATTGACTTCTTCGTTGATCTCCTTCAGCTGCTTGCTCGTCGCGTCGCCCACGCACGCACGTCGACGGTTTCTTGTCGGGTCAGGTCAACCCATAAATCTGACGGGTTGAAATTTCTGACCCATCTGTGAAAACGGGTTGGGTTTGGGTTTTATCAAACAGTAGGGGGTCAGTATTGGGTTCAACCCGAACCTGACCCGTAACCCGATTTTGACACCCCTACTCCTCTCTTAAGTATGGAAGATCTTGGGCACACAGATATAAACCTAAGGCACACTTGAAGAATTGGCTGTGCTCAACCACCACAAACAAATGCAACTTAACTCTTCTTCTTCTCTCTTTCATCCTCTTCTTTTAAGAATAAGCTTTAGCTTGGACATAAGACATAAGAGCATTCTTTCCACTATTGTATTCCATATTGTAATTCTTCTCTCACCATCCTTATGGTGAGCTCAAATATGTAAGGTTCCGGCATGTGTATCATGCTAAGAGCCTAATAAATCTTCTTGGCAAACGCTTAGTTGACTCAAGTCGTTTGATCAAACCACTCTCCATCTTTGTGTGCTTGTGCATGCTTCTTTCTCTTTTTCTCTCTCCTCCTTTTCCTTATTAAGCATACTTCTAGAGCATTGGACTTTTGGTTTCTTCTCTCATATGAACCTATGTATGTGCTCTCTCTTCCACTATCGTGATGAGTAAAAAGCCTTCACCATCCTCATTGTATGCGGGAAAATTTAATATTACAATTCTTGATGATAAGAAGTGCCATTGAGGAAGACCATCAACATCATTGCAATTCTTGATCTCTAGAAGGCTAGGGGTGTCCATTTGGGTTGACAAGTTAGGTTCGGGTCTGACTAAAGTTTGCCCGACCCGAACATGCTTAAACTAAACCATTCCTTTTTATTATATGGGTCAAGATATTCAACTCGAACTTGGCTCAACTTGAACTTGCCTAAATCAATCTCAACTTGTCTATTTGAACATGTTTCCCCTAACCCCTTTTGTAGATGAATCATGCAAATTTTTGGATCAAATGGAATTTAAGTGATGCTTATTATTAGAGATTGTTAGATTAGCCGAATTAAAAGGAAAGTTTGAACTGAGTTGTACGGGCATGTGGAAGATCCTTAGGGCATTAATGATCTATTTGCCAAAGGGGAGATTCAACCAATCTCAAAAGGCTAATTGAAGAGGCGTACCTCCTTAGAGCAATAGTCCAAATTTTGCCTCTTGTCTTTGCTTAGGATTTGGATCCCAAAGCTATCGAGAGATATTGCTCACATAGCCTTTCCACGTCGAAGTATTATACACGAACGCTAGGAAGTCACACTAGCATAATAATTAATGAACGATGTCATTAAAAGCTTCTCTTGAATCTTTCCTCAATATTTTTATTGACCTCAATATTCCCAGCAATAACCAGTACACAATGAAGTCGGAAGAAAGATGGATTTTGCATCAAGGGAAGATCTCATACCAAGCTCAATAGTTCGAAAGCATGAAGAAAGAAACAAAGTAATTAGCCCACAAACATTAAATAAGAAGTGCTGATATCAAAAAATAAATGTGAAAACCTCGAAGAATGAAACATCACACTTGTTGCCCATCAAATTGATGTGATGTGCCTCGAAGCACCACAAAAGCCATCCAATTCTAGCTAAGAGATAAATTTTGAATTAAAATTAGATAAAAGTTTTATTTTAGTATTTTAATTTCCTAGGAAAAATTTCATGAAACCATATTTCTCTTAGGTTGAATATAAATAACTCAGGAATTGTGCCACAATCAAGTCCTCATCCTCTTACCCAAATAGACTTCGAGTTAACCTTGGGATTATCGACTATAGGTTGACAATATCTCAGTGATACCTGCGACCTGTCTACCTCTCCGACATTATATATAGGTCATCATGTTGTTTTCTCACAATAAATTATAAAATGTAAACAAATCACATGCGAACAAGAATTTTCTTTCATTAATATCAAAAGATGCAAGCCATATTAATATAAAAAATATAAGAAATCATTCTTGATTACACACATTGACTTCATCCTATCACATATACTCTCAATGAGAGATTTAAGGACTCCTTAGCACCCTGCAATACTCGTGGCCTCTGCAATCATGTGAACAACCTTGGTGGTTTCTTTGCTGCCCATTCATGCCCATTGACGTAGGAAAGTGCCTTTTGGAGTAATGAGAAGGCTTTTTCATGGCATACTGATAGGAAGTACTTGAGTTCTCAAGTATTCCTAACCAAACCAGTGAAAATACAGCAGCAAACTGCTGTCCACAGCAGAAATCAGCAGGAAAAACAGGGAAATCTGAGAGAAAACTTAAGAAACGACTTGTATTTCACTCGCAAT